GACACCAACAACGCACAGAAAAACTTGTTGATTGGTGGAAAAAAACCGTAGGTAACGACGGAGAATACATTATCCATTTGCTTGCTGTTGATTTTGTGTTTAAAATGTAATTGGAGTCCGAAAAATCCTAAACTGTGAGCCAACACTACATTTACAAGGTTGCTATCATCTTTGAATTGCTTGGAACCAGTTACTAGCCGTCCTAGTGAGAATAGGTTCTCATTTTTTTAGCCAATCCGCTCGCAATTCCTATGAGCAACGCTTTTAGCATTTTAACTGAACGTAAAAGTAGAAACAGTAAAGATGCTCATTTTCGTTGACTCACTGTAATGACTTGTAAATTGACACATAATCGGCTTGGAGCTCTCCGTGCATTCTTATAGCCCATAATTTCGCCGTCAAATAAAATAAAATTCTGCAAACCTTCCATCTCTCTCATAAAATTTTCAAATTTTGAGAAACACGCCATCACTTACTGGTTATCCTATGATTAGTAGCAGATCGCAGGCGCAACACGATGAGTCCTAAGCAAATGGTTACTAGAGGGCTGACGGGTGTTTAGCAATACAACAGGCCGGACGCCCTAACAGCGCCCTGTAACGCGCAATAGCTAATCTCACGAAAGACTCTAGGTGGTTCCTAGAAGATAGCGAGTTTTTCTACAAGGGGAGTATCTACATCGCGACCCGAATATCGCTCCTAGTGGATGTAGGGATCAAAAAACAATGCCGCCACGTATTGCTCCCATCACCTACGATCACTGCACCGTGAATAATTGACCTTTCGTTCGTTCTCAAGAATGCCTTTCCCTCTTTCGATTTTCAGTTGATGAAGTGGCCATATCTACTGCTTATTATATTTTTATTAACGTTCAGCCTTCGTCATTCGTCGAAAACTCGTACTTGGAACTGGAACTACAATTCATGTATTTTCAGGCAAGTAGCCGCTGATGTATTACGTATTGTGCTGACGAGAGTTGAACAAGAAGCGGACATCGCCATCGTTCAAGGTGAAGTCGCCCACGATGCCAAAGAACCTCGTCGACGGCACATTGATCAGTCGAGAAATACCGCGGTGTGCTCGATTCAATAGCTGTGAATTACAGTATAAGATCTGGAGACACAAGGATTGCGGTTGCATTCAACAACCTAGAATGTTCTTACGATATGGGCTTATCAGCGACAAATATCGATAAATATTTAGTTATATGCCATCGTGTAGTCCGCAGAAGAGAGTGAGGAAAGGCCGTACTTAGTCGATGCTATAGTGTAATCTGTTTTGAGTCAGATGGGTGGTTTTGGCCATACAGGCCCCTCCCCTCCTTCCGTCACACCCACGTATATCCAAGTTAATTAGATGTGGGGGTAGAAGGACGCGTGCGAGGGTCCAGCACTGGCGGAGATGTAGAGAGCATTATAGAAGAATGGATAGTTTTCAAGGGACTACACAACCGTTGCTGGGCTTATAATTTCGTGGTTGGGGCTTCTTGGATTTTTTTTCTTCGGAATTATGAAACCCTTCCGGTGAATAGTTTTTGATTACCAGTAAAAGTAAGATGCTGAGGGATCCGTAAAAAAATCTGGCCGAGTGAAGGTAGAAATGGTCTTCAATAGAGGATCAGCACAGGGGCACCTTGCACGGGGCAAGAGACCAGACATTCTCGGCGACCGTCAAAACCGTGCCAGAAATAAAGATGGATATCATCTAAAATGCTTGATGAACTAAATAAGGAGATTGACGGAAGAAAATTACTGGGAACAACTAAACTGGAATTGGTGCAGATGTCAGTACGATAATTTGATTGTGTAGGTAAAGAAAGGTTGAAGGTGGGTAGCACAAGCTTCTTCTCGGCATTAATGTGTTATGTGCCTAATCTCTTTTTTAGCGGGTAACACCTCTGTGCTCAGAGTTAGTACAGCATCGTATTTTGAGAAACGGCGGTGGCTGTACGACTCCACCCAAGATCACTTCCTCTGCCATAATCGGGAAAAGTCTGAGAATTTTTTTATGGAAAAAGTCTGGGAATTTTTTCGCGTCTCAGGGGTGTATCAAAGGCAACTACAACTCACCGCCCCAGCAGCCGAGGAGGACCCTTTCCGCTTACCCCCTTCCCAGATGGAATTTTCCCAACGATACTGTACCCTTCCTTGTGCTACATCTGCACCTACTGTACTGGTGGAACATTTGACAGCGATGATCTGGATCTACTTCCAGTTGTTGTACAGCGGAAATCGGATCATAATCGAATTTATTCTCAAAGGGCTCTTGGCTGAGACGACTTGTGGCTGGTTTAGAGCGCTAAGGCACACGCACTTTGAAAATTCTCTACCAGAGGTTTAAAGTGTTTTATTGGGTTCGTTAATAATACATATTAATAAACGTTATGAGGTACGATATCAAAATGTTTAGAGGTACTTTAGTGAAATTTTGCCTAGTTTCCAACAACTCATTCGTTCCCCTCGTTGGGAACGAGGGATGACACTGCAGGAGATTTCTGCTGTGCTTGCATATGTTCATTGTAACGAGTTAACAGCTTGAGGTACTTCTTCCGGAAGTCATTCATTCGTGGATCGTTTATTTTCATTATGCCTTCCTGCAAAACAAACAAGTCCTTTACCTCCTCATACATCTATAAGGTTCTGAAACAAAAGTGGGCTTCTGTGAGAGGGCAGATCATTCGTGATCGGAGGGCCGAGGAAGCTGATCCTTCGACGTCGTCGAGGTCGTTTCGAAGTCTTATGAAAAACGGTGATGGGAGTATGAAAGGTGTCGTCCAGCTGATCTCTCCGACCTCGCCGTGGTCGCTTAGCTCTCACCCCTTTTCTGACTACGGCATTCTTTTCTCTAGAGGTATTTTACTTGATTCTTCCATTGAAGTAGTGATTGTCAGTTGGTTGTTGTTTCAATGGACTCCTTGATAGGATCTTGCCTATTGCCTAAGTTAAACTGTCTCAATCGGTCTTACTTGGTCGAAATCATCGATCACCCGGAACGCTTCAGGTTCAACAATGCCTTTGATGCCGCGCTATGCACCTAACATGCTTTCAAAGTCCTAATTACGTACAGTCGTCATCCGGGCACTTGATTAGGCGGCCAAGGGTCGCGACGCGGCTGCGGCGCGTCACGACCGCGGCGATCAGCTGTTTCCGGCCTAATTTGGCCATTTTCTCCCTAATTTTCACTGTATTTCCTATTTTTCGAAGTAAATTGTTTTATTGTCTTTATAAAGTACATTAGGATATCTTTTCTTTTTTTTGCAATAGGGATTTGCAATTTTTTTCTCAGGTGTTTGTTCAACTGTCTGCTTAACTGTCTGATTGTACCCTAAAATCA